CAAGCCGGATTTCGTTGAAGTGCTCCTCGAAGTGTTCCCTCCAAAGTTCCAGTCGTCTAGCCTGAGAACTAATTGGGGCTTCACTTTACTTCAAGATTGTGACACTTATCATTTGTCTTTTGCAGCCTGTTTTCCTAATAAACCCAAAAATTTGTCTTGTTTTTCCTGTCACCAATGCTTTTTCCATCTCTTTCAACTTTTATGGGCCTTCAGCTTACGAAGAGATCCCTACTGAGTAGACTTAAACCAGGATGAAACAGACGTTCAGTTCCAGATAGTCCTCTAAATGATCTTGTCTCCTGACGAAACTAACTACCAGAAAACGAATTTCTAGAAATTTCTTTTAAAAATACTTTAACCAAAAATATTACGTTAAAAGTATACGTGTAACAACAGAAGACAAGGGCTGGCAACAGATCGTTTTATTACGAAAATCAACACGTATTTATATATATTTTATATGCATTAATAAGGCTTATGCAAGCAGAAAAAGGCAGTCTTCTGATTGGTTGTTTCTCGGAAGTTAAGCAGACAAACACAGTCTTATGATTGGTTGTGTTCGATATTTCTCGGAAAGTAGAGCCATCTATCTGCGAATCATATTTGTCCACATTTAGGTTTGCTGTGATTGGTTGTTGAAACAGCCTTGTTCACGGTCAATATTAGTGACCTAGACATTAACGTAGATTAGTGCCAACCAATCGGCTAGCAGCCTGCTCTCACCACACTCGTCCCCCCGTCAAATAGCTTTGTGCGCAGACGTTCCGACCTTCTGGGTGCTACATCCTCTAGTTGAGGATTGTTACTGACCGGCTTGTCCCACTGTACCCATCTTTGTAGCTGACTGGCGTTAACTCGTTTCTGTTTATCACCTCTTCGGATGGTATATACTTGACCCCGTCTTTTTGTGATTGTGTATGGTCCTTCCCACTTTGGAAGGAGTTTCCGTGAACCTAGCCCGCCTCCAACTGTATATCTCCTGTCTCTACACTTCACTTGGTCCCCGACTGCAAAAGTAATGCACTGCGTCCTTTCTTTCATCTGAGACTTCGTGACATCACTGCGCTGCTTCCGTATTACATTCTTGACTGCCTCTTTCCTCTCTGCTTTTAATTTCGTCGTACTCCACTTTTGGTGCATGGGCCAGGTCTCATTGTGTACCGGTAATCGTGGTTTTCTGCCATACATCAGTTGGAAGGGTGACTTCTTCGTTGTTTCCTGAGTGGTAGCCCGATGTGTTAGTAAAATCAGTGGAAGCTCCGTTTCCCAGTTCCCGCCCTTCGAAGCCAGCCACTCTTTCAGTGTACGGTTGTTTCTCTCCGTTAGGCCATTCGTTTGTGGATGGTATGGGGTCGTTCTGATCCTCTTGATGCCCAGCTGTTGCAAACGGGAAGTAAACTCTTCACTCTCGAAACAGGGACCTTGGTCTGTCAGTATTGTCTTCGGTACGCCGTGGTCTGCAACAATGTGTCTAACTACTGCATCTGTCACGGTTCTTGCACGTTGGTCTGGGATTGCTACGGCGTCTACCCATCGTGTCGCGTGTTCCGTCATCACCAAGAGGTACTGATTACCATTGGATGTCTGAGGAAATGGACCCATGACATCTACGGACCACAAGTCACCTATCGCGGTAACTGGAATCGACTGAAGTGGTGGTCGTATATACCGGTCACCTTTCATCAGCTGGCACCGTGGACATCCAAGTACGTATCTTGCTACGTCTTCTCTCATACCTGGCCAGTACATACTTTGTCTTAGGAGGTCGGTCGTTCTGGCCACGCCTGTATGCGCTAGCTGGTGACATTCTTCTATCATGTCGTGGCGCGACGATTGAGGTATGACAGCCAGCCAGCTTCCGTCGTTCTCTCGCCAGGTCAGAGTCCCGTAGGCATTCACTCTGAGTCGATCCCTCTGTCTGAGTAGTGTGGTTAGCTCCTTACTCGCCGTAGTTTGATCCACTTCTATTCCGTTGGTGATCACCTGTATTACTGTATTCAGCGTATCGTCCAACCTCTGCCTACGTGCAAGTCTTAGTGGGTCTTGTTCTACTGCATGCACTCCGTAAGCGACCTCGGGCAACTCAGACTCATCTTCTGGTCTCGATAACAAATCTGCCAAGACATTTTCACTTCCAGGAACGTGTGAGATCGTAAAATCGTACTCCTGAAGACGCAACATCCACCGTGACAACTTCCCCCGTGGGTCTCTCGCTGTCTTCAAAAATTGTAGCGGCTTATGATCAGTTTCGATGTGGAACCGCCGGCCGAGTAAATAAGGTCTCCATTTGTCGACTGCCCATACCATTGCTAAACATTCTTTCTCTATCGTTGAATACTTTCTCTCTGTGAGGGTCAACACCCTACTGGCATACTCAACGATTCCCTCGTCCTGTCTTAGGACCGCACCTATAGCGTAGTCACTGGCATCTGTGCACACTGTGAACTGTCTTCCTGGCACAGGTAGTTTTAGCGTCATTTGTTGGTGGTCGAGCAGCTGTTTAATTCTGTCGAATGTCCTCTGCGATTCTTCCGACCAAACAAACTTTGGCTCACCTAGTAGCCTGTATAGAGGGGCTGCTATCTCATTGAAGTTCTTCACGAAGCGACTATAAAACGCTGCTCTACCCAAGAATTGTCTCAGTTTTCTCTTTGAATTCGGGGCTGGAATCGTTTTAATCGTCAAAATTTTCTCCGGCAGTGGTTTAATCTCACCATTTCCCACTTTATGTCCCAACAGAGTAACATTCTTTTTGGCTATCTGAGACTTGGTTTTGTTGACGCGTAGTCCAAACTCTTCGATGCGTCGCAGCACGGCTTCTACATGGTTGACGTGATCGTTTTCGTTTGACTGTATATGACGAGATCATCACCATAAACCTCCACGTTTTTCAAGTTCTAAGTAATAGCTTCATCAGTCGTCTGAACGTAAACGGTGCACCTGCTAGTCCAAACGGCATGCGTTTAAATCGATATTGTGTCTGACCCACGATGAAAGCCGTCTTATCTCTATCACCTTGTTTTATCGGTATCTGCCAGTATCCTGAGCGAAGATCGAGAACCGAAAACACATTCGCACCTTGTAGGCGATCTAAGTTTCTACCACTGTTGGCATGGCACACGGTCTTAACTCTGTCATACTGTTTAACTGTCGAAAATCAACACAGAATCTATACTTCCCATTCGCTTTTTTTACTAACAGCACTGGAGAGTTGTACGGGCTATCAGCTTCCTCAATAATATCATCTTTTAACATCTCTTGCACTTGTCGCTCCACTTCGCCTTCCAGATGACATGGAACTCTTCGCGTTAAAAATGACCTTACTTTCGGATCACTTAACGGAATTTCATGATTCACCTTATCGCAATAACCGTATGGGTCGCCATCTCCAGTGAACAGATGATCGTATTTATTAATTAACTCTGTCACATTGTGTACCGTCGACAGCTTAATCGCTGCTATCTCGCTGGTCTCATACATGTTGATATGCCCGTATTTCGTGATCACCACGTTCGCTTGCGTGTCGATTATGGCACCAATCTCACGCAGAAAATCCGCTCCTAATATCGTTCGCTGTAGTTCGGGTACAACAATGAAAGGAAACGTCACCTCGCAGCCACCAACAACGACCGTACAGTTCGATCTACCCGTGATACGCAACACATACCCGCCTACTGTTTGTACTGTCAATGAACACGGACTAACACTCTTACATAAATTCTTATCTATTAACGACACGGCCGCTCCTGTATCTATCAAACATACTACTTCTCGATCATTCACTCGCAACTTCGAATACAGAGCGCCTTTCTCAATAGCCCCCACTAAATCTAGGTTCATACGAAAGAAAGAACAAGCATTATACCGTCTGAAATTTTTTCTTTTTCGCCTTTCTGGGCAGTATCTTCTCCAGTGTCCCGGCTTACCGCATTCAAAACACCGGTCTTTTCTATCAGCCAACTTTAACGCCGCCACTTCCCGCTGCAATGCTTCAATTTTTTGCTCATATTCGTTTGGTTTTGGTTGGTCTATAGCGGCTACCGTTGTGCTCAGCAGCTGTCTGGTCACCTTCGCCAGCTCACTAATATCCATCGGCTGCGTTGCGTTAACCAGTTTTAATCGCTGAGAAATGTGGTCGGGGACACTCTCGATGAATTGGGAAGACAGTAACTGCGCTTCTGATTCTTCATCTAAAGTGGGAAGCGCGCGTCGAAGTAGATTAGTCAGTTTCACCGCCAACACTAGCGGGTCTCCATCAGGTCCAAGCTTCATTGACCGGAACTGCTGCATTGCTAGCTGTCTGTCTGTTTCGCTGTCAAACTCGGACACTAGTCGTTCAACCAATTTCTTCCAAGACGCTGTGCCATTTGACCTGTCTACGCTGTCATATGCAGCCTTCGCTCGGCCTCTCAACAGCGTCCCCAGGACAACTGCCTTCGCCGCCTGCTCCTTGACACCCACCAGCTCAGCAACGGCTTCGAAGTCACGTAAGAAGCTCCGTATGTCACCTTCTTCAAACGCAGCTGGCCACGGGATCTTCATCTTCTTGGAGGCAGCGACACCAAATGTAACAACAGAAGACAAGGGCTGGCAACAGATCGTTTTATTACGAAAATCAACACGTATTTATATATATTTTATATGCATTAATAAGGCTTATGCAAGCAGAAAAAGGCAGTCTTCTGATTGGTTGTTTCTCGGAAGTTAAGCAGACAAACACAGTCTTATGATTGGTTGTGTTCGATATTTCTCGGAAAGTAGAGCCATCTATCTGCGAATCATATTTGTCCACATTTAGGTTTGCTGTGATTGGTTGTTGAAACAGCCTTGTTCACGGTCAATATTAGTGACCTAGACATTAACGTAGATTAGTGCCAACCAATCGGCTAGCAGCCTGCTCTCACCACATACGTACATATATATATATATATAGCAACTGCTTCGTATGCACTGTCGAGGGATATTTATTTTCCGCATTGTTGTATTTTGCATTGTGATAGTGTATCCCTTGTCCACTGGATCATTTCGCCGATGAGTCAACTTCTGCCTACAAATGTAATGCATGTCCTATGCGTCAATCAACTACAAATGGTATTTCAGGCGCGATATCTATACACTGCTTAGCAAATCAGGTGAGTAGAGTGTTTCTTTCCTTGTAAGTTTCATTTTCAAAGTATAGGCAGTGAGTTTCTGAACATTTCCTCCATATTACTAGAAATGTTACTGGACAAATTACACAAAATAACTTGCTGAAACGTACGAGTAAGAATCACGTCTATGAGATATGACTTTCGTAAATGGAAGCTGTTATAAAGTTATTGGAAGACGCAGATTATCGGAAAAATGTGATGTGATGTATTTGCGCTGTACAGTTCGAACAATCTGATCATACATTTACTTGTCAAGTCGATGTACATGAAAAAAAGTAAGTTAAACAAAGTGAGAAAAAAGGGGTTTAAGAATGATTAACAAAACGTTTAAGAGGATTCAGCGTATTTGTACGGCTGATGTTATAGACAAAGAAAACGAAATATTGATGGATACTCTTGTTGAAAATGGATATCCTTTAAAATTTTTAAACAGATGTAGAAGTCAATTAGTCTCTAAACCTACAATCCATACCGCATCAAATTACCATATAACGGGGAAATGGACAGTAGGATTTTGAGACAAAGGTTGAATTAGATCATCTGTAGAACCTATTATGCAGCTCAGCTTGTAATTGTCGAAAAAGCTAAAAATATGCTCCACTGCAAACCTCAAAAGTGCACAAGTGATTATGTCACATCCCACACTATTTACCAATTTTTCCATACATACATACATAGGGAGGAGTAATCGCGCTTTGCATGTGAGGTTGTGAGAGCATATCCCAAAAATGGTTAGAAAAACAGATGAATGGTGACAAGCCAATAGATGCAGGTGTCAGTCAGACCACCAACTTCGTCTATAGCCAAACATCTAATCGAGATGAACCATAAGATTGATGTTAACTCAGCCTTTAAGGTCCTTTATAAAAACGGTCAAGGGCGCTTATTGAAATACGCCGAGGATGTAGCTATTCATAAACTTAAGCTCCATCCCTGTATATTCAAAAAAAGTTTATTACTACGCTTAAACTACCTTGATAATCCTTATTTGATTGGATTACCAAACGTTGTGTTAATCATACTTAAATCCTTTTTTTGTCACTTTGTTTAATTTAACTTTTTCATATATATCTACTTGACAGGTAAATGTGTGAACAGATTATTAGAAATGTATAGCGCAAATACATCCCACATTTTTCCGATAATCTCCGTCTTCTAATAGCGCTATCAAAATATATAAAAGGGACTAATTGTCTTAAATGTTATAAAGTTGTCAATTTTTAGGGAATATTCAAAACCGACGTCTGCCCAGAAGATCTGGAGTGGAGAAGGATGAGTTGAGCATCTAACAGTAGTATGTCGAAGAGGATATCAGGGCTTGCGGGCAGTCATGGAGTAGGCTAGAATAGACTCCAAACAACGAAATAAAATGAAAATATGATCTTAAAGCTGATATGTATCCATATATATATATATATATATATATATATATATGTGTGTGTGTGTATGTTGGTCTCTCTTTCTGTTTGCTCGCTTAGTCTGTGACCATTTCTATTTTGATGAACCTGTCTCCTTTAATAATGTGTATTCTCCTTATATTATATTATATATAATATGAGTGTTTGTTGACAGTCCGTTGCTTGGTGACATATATCCATATTATATGTTTGGTTGTTGACATGTCTGCTATATTTTGCTATGTATATATGGATCGATACTTCATTATAATTAGCCATTCATGTTAAGACTGTCTAGTGATTTGTTCACACGCTTGTCATATATATATTTCGCTCTCACAATTTGTGTGACTTACTTACTGACTTTCCACTTTGGTGTGATACCACTTTTGCATTCTCCTTGTGTTTGGACAATAGAAGTATCATCGCAAACCTAGTGGTCTTCTGATTTCCGCCTTCTCGCGTCAGGACTATTAGTTTCTCGACCAGTCCATAACAATAATTTAGCGACGAGTACATAACAATTTGGCGACGGGGAAAACTAGTACATAACAAAAGCCCAGAGTTTCGCTCTGAACTCAACAATTATGAACAATTATGATATTAATCTTCAATACAGTTGATATAATCCAGGGAAGGTCTAGGTTGGATAGAAAGTCAAAGGCATCATTGGCTGTGTAAGTCTTCGCCTGGGATTTATTCTGAGATGTAGAGAAACGCTCCACGTAAAGTTGCAGTTAAACATGCTTTGAGACTCAGCTGCTGAAAAGTACTGATTGAATAGTCTCACTTTATTTCGGCACCACTCAAATCCTTGTTTCCTTTTTTCTCACATTCTCTAGTCATTACGATTGTTGTACAAATTTAACCGTTGTGGATGTTATATAGTCGTGTAGCACTGTTATAAATTTTGAATATTGTTTATCATATCATTATTATTCCCTAAAGGACCAAATGGAACGTCTCCATTTTGTCCTCTTCTCTGCAGTTTTCTTTAGATGGCTCTACGATTAACCATAAACTCTCGTCTCCTCCTCCTATCATGATCTCCTCTAACTCATCGTTACTCATTCGGGCTACACTAGAGCCCCTGGCGCGCAGTGTCTTTCTGTAGCCGGGTAATACACATACCTCAATCCAGTTTTTGTTTTCCTTCACGTTCCCTGTGGAACATAGGGCTTCAAGCTAGAGGCTTGCAGTTTCAGTAGTAGTAGTAGTGCTTCTGTCTTGCTTCTGCTGTACTTTTCACCTACATCCATGTTAGTCCGTACTGTTTCAACTCCTCTTCACACGATCTCCTCCATATCACCCTTACACCGACGTCCCACTCGCCGCTTCCCTTTCGGGTTCCACTCGAGCAATGGCTTGACGCGCGATGTCACCAACCGGCCTCCTCAGCGAGTGTCAAATCCATCTCCACTTTCTCATGCATATTTGTTGGTTGGCGATTGGTTCTTGTTTTGTTTGTTTGTTCCCATAGTTTCTTGTTGGTGATTCTTACCGGCCCGGCCATCTGATCCTCAGTATATATCCAACGAAGACAGTTTTTGATGAAGGTCTGCAACAGGCTGTTGGAAATATTCTTTGTGACCCACTCGCCAAGTTTCTGATCCGTATAGAAGAGCTGACTAACTTGACGTTTGTCTTGGAAATCCGACCGAATTTCGTTCTTGATCCCGAGTGAAGAAGATTTCCAGATTGGTTGTTTCAGGTTGATGAATGTGTTTTTCGCTCGCCTTTCCGATTCTCGCTCGATTTGACATCATCGTTCGTTCCTCCGTTCCTGTAGTTGAGACATTGCTCCCTAGATAAGTGAATGAAGTAACCTTTTTCAAGTCCCTCCCATTGATAGTGATTGGCGCTGGATGTTGCTGCTGCTGTTGTTGTTGTTGGTTGGTTGGTTGGTTATTTTCATCACCTCCGTCTTGTCTATGTTCACATGGAGTCCTGCCTTCACCGGCTGCTTCTTCGACCAGTTTGTCGGTTTTCGCTTGTAAGTTTTCGATTGTGTGTGACATCAAACATAAATCATCCACGCGCGAAATCCAGGTCTTCTAGGTTCTTCACATCGGTCGGTCCAGGATATCCCTGTCTTCTCTTTTCCCACTCACTGTCTGACACATAATCCAGCCCACCACAATTGGGAATATCATTGGTGATAATAAGCAGCACCCTTGTCTAACTCCTGTGTTTACTCGAAACGCCTCGCTGAGTTTTCTGTTGTGGATCACTTGACATGTGGCGTTGTCGTACAGCTGTTGAATAAGGTTGATGAATATTTGGGATATGTCGTAGTACTCGAGTAGTTTCCAAATTACTTAACGGTCAACGCTGTCAAAGGCCTTCTCAAAGTCTATAAAGTTGAGGTAGAGATTTAATGGCCATTCCATGCTTTGTTCTGTGATGATGATGATGCATAGAGTTGTAATTTGGTCAGAACATGATTTGGCTTTCCTGAATCCAGCTTGTTCTTGTCGGAGCTCTGTATCCAGTGCGTTGCTGATATCAAATTCTCATTTGCCTTTATTGGCTGGCTATTTGGCGGATATACGTAGATTTGTAACTATAGAGTCTGAAGATGAATAAGAAGTTATCGAAGACAACCATTATTTGCTCAAAATAATCACCGTCATTTTCATTTTCTGATTACATACATAAACTTTATTTTACAGAATCCAAAAATCAATAAACACTTTTTACGCAAACGTAACTTACTACGTAAAGTAATAAAACGAAGCATTCAACCGATTTTTGGTAATACTGAAGCAGATATTAAAGAACACTTGATGAAATGGTTACAACCTGATGAAGAGAGATTAAAATTACAAGATGATGCAATCAATATATTCAAGGTTAGTCTATCAAGGCAAACTGTTTAATATTATTTGAATAACTTGTCAATTGTCTCCTCAAAAATATTCATCAACATTTCATTAAACTTTCTGAATGAAGTAGACTTAGTTTGAAAGACTGACTTGATGTAATGCATTGAGACAAAAGAACATGTGAATGTAGCAGGATTACTGGCCTCGTGCTATATGCGAATTGTCGACAGACGAAGAGCACTTAAAATCTGATAGCTGACTCATGCTGCTCAATGGTAACATCTTTGGCTGCAGCTGTGAATGATGCAGGTTTGAGGGATATATGGCACTGTGAAGTCGCAAGAGAGTGAGTGATAGCAGATCTCCAATGCCCTTTGATGTCGATATCTACACGTGAGCTATATTGATAGAGTACTTTTATTAGACACTAGTTAGTAAGTGTGTTTGGTCCGTTCTTTTGTGCAGAATGAATTCTATCAGTCAAGATCACAATGGATCCAGCATTCTAGGTGGCTCACCATCACGGTGCTAGTTGGCACTCACCAGTGAGTCAGCAAGGTATATCTGCAACTACCTTGAAGGAACTTATGTCCCTTCTGACATTCGAACCTGAATAGCTCAGTGATACTTCAGATACACCTTGCTGACTGACTGGTGAGTGGCAACTTGCACGAAGCCTAGGTTCATGCCTCCTTGCCGATCGCCTCCAACTATTTAAATTAGTGACAGTGTGCCCTAGGTCTAGGGACCTGGCCCAAAATGTTTGGGCTGGGCTCAGGGCTTCCAGTTGTTCCGTGACTGAACCAGGGATTGAACCCGGCCGGGTCAATCAGCGCATGAGGTCAGATCATTCCAATATTCAGCCATTGGAATCCAATGCCCTATAAATGTGTGATATAGAGATTTCCGTGGAAAAATTCCATTAGGACATACAGAAAATCAAAATAATTGATTCAGCCAAGAGAATTTTTACAAAGAATTTATTTTTCAAGTATTGGTTTTGTAGGGATTTTGTTTGATTGCATGGAGGATTTCATCATGAGCTGACATCAGTTAGAGAACCACTGGAAAACCTGGGATTACTGGACAGCTGTTTCGTCCTAGTTTGGGACTCTTCAGCAGTACGCACCCACCGGGATTCGAACCCAGGACCTTCTGGTTACAAGGCGAGCTCATAGACCATTGAGCAACTGGGACCCGATCCAATGGTCCTTGAATTCTAACTTCTGCCAATTCACGACATAGCGCGACCACTTCACAATGTCTTCTTCGATGAGTTACTGCCTCATCTTCAACCTGCTGTACCCTACTGGTCACGGCTTCCCACTAGAACCCCAGGTTAACTGCCTGAAGTTGAGGCAGTAACTCATCGAAGAAGACATTGCGAAGTGGTCGCGCTATGTCGTGAATTGGCAGAAGTTAGAATTCAAGGACCATTGGATCGGATCCCAGTGAGTGGCTCAATGGTATACGAGCCCGCCTTGTAACCAGAAGGTCCTGGGTTCGAATCCCGGTGGGTGCGTACTGATGAAGAGTCCCAAACTAGAACGAAACAGCTGTCCAGTACTCTCAGGTTCTCCAGTGGTTCTCTAACTGATGTCAGCTCATGATTAAATCCTCAATGCAATCAAAGAATTTATTATCAAGCTGTACAATCGTATGTATGTATGTATGTATGTATGTATGTATGTATGTATGTATGTATGTATGTGTGTATGTATGTATGTATGTATGTATGTATGTATGTATGTATATATGTATGTATGTATGTATGTATGTGTGTATGTATGTATGTATGTATGTATGTATGTATGTATGTATGTATGTATGTATGTATGTATGTATGTATGTATGTATGTATGTATGTATGTATGTATGTATGGGTTTTTACATTTTTTAAGAAATCATACCCTGTGAGGAAATTTAAACAGAAGTGCAAATACATAAAATAATAATAGTAGTAGGAAAAGCAGTTCATATGGAACTAGGTATATCGGTATATCCTACTAGGGTTTTTTCTAAGTGGGTGCAAGAACACTATCAGGTACGTTTAACAAGAGTTGGAATTGGAGATACAGGAAGTGTAATCATTGAAAATAATGGTCGATACTGGTTACCCAATCTCCGCAGTCTCTTTTTTTTTCAAAGACATCTACAAGGCAAAAGATAACTTGTCCAAATAACTACGTATCCTACCCATCTGTATTACTAAGTCTTTAGCCATTGAAAATAGAGATGCCAGGCCTCTGTATACAGAAAGAGTTTGTTCAACCCTTCCAAATGTGATAAGCCTAATCCGTCGACGCTAAAGTATGATAACCCTCATTCATATTTCGGCTCTACTCACTTTTGATTTTGGTTTATTGAGTTAGTATATCCTTCCTTTATTATGATGTCAGTTGTTATGACTATTATTACTATTCTCACTGAAACTATTTCCACTTGTTCCACTTGTCAAATGTTTGTTTTTGCAATCTTAAATGGCATGTTATCAGATATCACGTCGTGTTACGTAACGTTTTCATTTTATTAGATTTGCCTGCTATTCACATAATTGCACACCCCTTCCAAATTCTATACATCCTCTGGTTTTGGTTTTTGTAGAGATTTCAACTGATTGGTTGAAGGATTTCATCACCATTGGAAGTACTGGACAGCTGTTTCGTCAGCCTAGTCTAGGACTCTTCATCCGTATGCGTCCGCCGGGGCTTAAACCTAAGGCCTTCTGGTTACAGGGCGAGCTCACGGACCATTAGGCACTGGGACCCAACCCAATAGCCAGCCCATGAATTCTAACATCTGCCCATTCAGGACACAGTGCGACCAATTTGCAATGTCTTCCTCAATGAGTTATTGACTCACCTTCAACCTGTTGCACCCTACTGGTCACGGTTTCCCACTAAAACTCTAGGCAGTTACCTAGCTGAATAGGGTCAGTCACTGGTGAGCATCAGATCGATATTCAAGTATTGGTTTGAAGGGATTTCATTTAGCAGAAGTTAAAATTCATGAGTCACTGGATCATGTCCCAGTGACTGAATGGTCTATGAGCTAGCTGGCCTTGTAACCAGAAGATCCCCGGTTTGAACCCCTGTGGTGGGTATGTACTGAAGAAGAGTCCCAAAGTAGGCTGACGAAACAGTCTTCCAGTACTTCTTGGTGGTTTTCCAGTGGTTCATTAAGTGATGTCAGCTCATAATAAAATCCTCCAACTATTCTATATTTGAAATTAATGGTTTTGCCTGTTGATAAGTTTGTGTATCTTGGTAGTTGTGTGAGTGCTGGTGGAGGAGTGACGAATGAGATTTCCAACCGTATAATGAAGGCTAGGGTGGAATACATCAACTTGAGCCACCTATGGCGCCGTCGCAACGTAAGCTTGGCTGTCGAAGGTCGGGTATACAATGCTTCGGTGCGGGCTGCGCTGCTCTACGCCTGTGAAACCTGGCCTCTCCGAGCTGAGGATATGTGACGGCTCTGTGTATTCGATCATTGCTGTCTCCGCAAGATTGCTTGCATTCGATGACATCATCGCGTGAGTAATTCTAAGGTTCGGTGGTGTGTGTTTGAACACAGTGGAGATCAACATTCATTCAGTGTCGTCATCTGGAAACACCGGCTCCGGTGGCTTGGACATGTGCTGCAAATGTCATTCCAGAGGCTTCCGTACAGGTCTCTGTTCGCTAGCCCTGGGAAGGAATGGAAAAGGCGGAGAGGTGGTCAATCCATGACGTGGCGTTGTGGAATGAAGGATTTTTGTGCTAGATTAGCATCGGTTGATGTGTCACGACTCCCTGGTTGGGGTCCGCGAGATAACTCGAACCGATGGCTCGAAACGTTATCGGATATGGCCAAGAATCGTAATCAGTGGCGAATGTGTTGCGATTTCCTTCTTTCTTCCCTTTCCGGTGATAGCTAACGAACACTGTTTGAAGTTGTTGAGCATGACTGTTTTCCTTCCAGATGAAGTTCTCTATCCGTTCTCTGCTTATATATTTTTTTCTCTTCTTTCTTTTTTTCTTTTGATCTATGCTGTTTTATTATTATTGTGTGGTGCATCCTTCTTGGCGCCATATTGTACCAAGTTTTTTTGCGTTTAAATAAATAATAAATAAATAAAAAATGATTTTGCAACTTGACATTTAAGTATAATTATAATCACAAACATTTGAATTGCATTTCATACTACTACTATTATTATTTTATGTATTGATACCTATGATTCAATTTCCTCACTGGATATAATTTCTTAAAAATCGCTATATTTATCCGATTGTACAGCTTGATAATAAATTCGTTGTTGAAAAGAGTCTCTTCGCTGAATCACTTGCTATGATTTTCTACATACATCTATCGTCAGCAAGTATACTTGACATGGTAACTTCACCGTGAGATAGCTTCTCACTTGAACTTCAGCACAATGAGCTAACCTCTTTATCCGTAAATACTGGTTCCGATCCCTAGTGAGTAGAGTCATAAGGATGAACTGTTGAACGATCCCAAACTAGGCCGAAACATCTATCCAGTTCTCCTTGGCTTTTCACTAGTTCTCTAAATGATATTTGTCAGTTTTGCTGAATTTCTCAAGACTTTTTTCAGCTTGTGGTTGTATCGAAAATACTCTTTTTCATAATACTCATACCTTTTCTTGTTTTCCTTCAATTTCAGGAGTTGAACTGTCTAGGATTCTCTTCACATGAATTACTCTTAATGATAATAATATCTATTGGAATTGCATGGTTCGGTATATGCTTAACATTCGTTTTATTTCTCAGTGTACAAGAACCATTTGGTTATCAGGTGGATGAAAGAAAATATGTTAAGCGTGATAGCAAGATGAAGAGAATCTCTGATTCAATTGTAAAGATGACGCTATTTTTCATAGAATCAGTGAGTATTTTTTTTACTTTGCTGCAGTGTTTTTCTTAAAAGTATCATATAATTATATATTCTTGATGGTTTACGAGCTAGCCTTGTAACCGGAAGGTACTGGATTCAAACTCAGGGGGTGGATGCGCACAGATGAAGAGTTCCACACTAGTTGGACTAAATGGCTGTCCAGTACTTCGTGAGCGGTTTCCCAAATGTTTCTTTGACTTATGTTAGCTCATGAAGGATTCCTGTAAGCAATCAAATAAAATTCCTGTAAACCAACATTTGAATATCAACCTGATACTCACTAGTGTAACTGGCCCTGTTCAGTTAGGTGGTTGGCTACCTGGGTCTTAGTGAGAAGTCTTGACCAGTGAGGTGCAGCGGGTAGGTTGTGAGGATAAATACTCGCTATGTTGTGAACTGGCAGAAGTTGAAACTCATGGGCTGGTTATTGGATCGGGTTCCAGTAGCTAGGTGGTCTCTAACTCCTGGTGAAGAGTCCCAAACTAGGACGAAACAGCTGTTCAATACTCCCAGCTGGTTTTCCAATGCTTCTTTAGCCGATGTCAGTGCATGATGGGATTCCATAACTAATCAACAAACACTTGAATGGCAAATGAAATGTTTAATTTGTTGTTTTCATGGACGACTTATGTTGTGAAGCATGCTTCATTTAATTTTTCGAAGAACTGGTCGTTTTTCAATTCCAATACAAATGTTTTTGCAACAGTTTAGTTATAAACCCAAAGAACTCAGATTCTACCGAAAGGAATTATAATACCATCTAGGATAGGACTTTTATGGAAGTTACGTATACATAAAATAACTTGAAGTAATAAGGAACTTTTAACTAACAGGTCCCTTTCCCATGCATAGTAGAGTCACTAACATTACGCCAATTCTTACCTGTTTTTAAGGTTACTATTGGTTAGGCGAGTTTTAGGAAGTGTGTTTGGCGGGAACCGAAAAGATATATATTGTATTCTGCTGTTAATGCAGTATTGAACTGTGGGAAAATGTGAGAACAGTATTGCGTTGGACCACTATGTCTGTATCACACCACCACACTTGTCACCCCGTCAAATACTTTCAGATGAAGTCGGTTCAGTCGTCTTGGTTCTGGCGTCTTTGTTTGCTTGTCTTGTTGTATCTATTTCCGAAGGCGACTGAAGTTCACCCGCTTCTCTTTGTTTGCATTTCTGATCGTATATATACTTGACCCCATCTCACGGTGTCCATGGACGGTCCTTCCCACTTTGGAAGCAGTTTGCATGACCCTGGTTGGCGAGTATTCTCCAGTGTTTTGCCTCACAATATCATATGCAGCCTTCAAAGTTAAAGCCTCTTCATCACTGACGGACTTTGAACTCCATTCAGCTCGGCAACAGCCTCGAAGTCCTGCCAGAAGATCCCAGAAGATATCCTTCTTCAAAAACTGCAGGCCATGGGATTTTCATTTCTCGAAAGGCAGAGACATCAAGTATAACAGGAGAAGGCACGACACGGAAGCCGAAGTATACTTTGTTTATCAATCAAACCGCTGTTTATATATATATATATGTATATATATATACAGTTTATATACGTCACCAGTCACTGAGCGTGTGGTCTTGGTTTACATTAAATGACATGAAATAGAATGTTCAAATACATATATATTGTGTTCTGTTGTTAATATAGTACTGAATTGTGGGAATATATGAAAATCATATTCCGTTGGAACACACTGTCTGTAGTGGTGAGAGCTGGCTGCTAGCCAAATTGGTAGACATTAACTTACGTCAAGGTTTATGTCCCCAATATTGGTCGTGAGAAAAATGAGAACAAAGGCTTTGCGTAGGCGGATACAGTTAACATACAGATGATCTGATATTCAAGAAACAGCCAAAAAGAGATGCAAGGTCAACTTGCTGTGAGAAACAACCAATCAGAAGACTGTGTTTTTCTGCTTACAATAATCTATAATAATGTACATGAAAATCTATAAATGTGTGTTGATTTCCTTAATAAACGATCTGTTGCCTGGCCCATGTCTTCTGTTGTTACATTTGGCGTCGCTGCCTACCGACAAATGGAATGCCTATGCCCTGCAGTTTTTGATGGAGAGATATGGATCTTCGAGCAGGACTTCGAGGCTTCTGCGCAGTTAAGTTGCGTTCAAGATGTCTCAGCGATGAGGCTGCTACTTGGAGTGCTGCTGGGAGGTGGGGAGGAAACAGCATATGAAAGTGTGAGGCGAAATAACGACGAATGTGCGACAGGGTCAGACAAACAGTTTTCAAAGTGGGAAAGACAACGTATGGTCACGTTGAAATGGGGTTACATAGACATAATCACAATGGTAAACCAAGAGAAACAGATGAACATCAGCGAGCGCCGAGATTCCAGACAGCAGCACAAACGAGTTAAGGCCCTAGAACCAAGAAGACCGAACCAACTTCATTCGCAAGTCTTTGACGGGGGCACGGGTGTGGTGAGAGCTGGCTGCTAGCCAAATTGGTAGACATTAATTTACGTCAATGTTTACATCCTCAATATTGTTCGTGAGAAAAATATGAGCAAAGACTGATTCGACAATCAATAACAGAAGACTTTGCGTAGGCGGATACAGTTAACATACAGATGATCTGATATTCAAGAAACAGCCACAAAGAGATGCAAGGTCAACTTGCTGTGAGAAACAACCAATCAGAAGACTGTGTTTTTCTGCTTACAATAATCTATAATAATGTACATGAAAATCTATAAATGTGTGTTGATTTCCTTAATAAACGATCTGTTGCCTGGCCCTTATCTTCTGTTGTTACAGTAGTAGTAGTAGTATATAGCTTCATGCATGAAGCATTTTTCTCCATTGTTACGCCAAATTATCCTTAATAATTAATTCATTGTGTTGTATTTCGCCTTTTTTCCGTTTCTTACTGAAACGCCTAAGGTACTCTGCTTCCCATTCCATTTATGCTACGGGATAAAACGTCGTACAAGTAATATCCCATTTAAATTCAAGAAAAATGACTTTCTCTTACGCCTGTCGACTGTTAAACGTGAAACGATGAACATCTTTCGTCAAGAATTAATCTTCCATGAATTATTTGAAATGAAACAAACAATGATGCTACAAGATATTCTAACCGATTTGACAATTGATCGAATGATTGAAGCCAGTCAGACGGAGCAGCTTGAAAAGTCTTTAAATCAATGGACAACTGGTTCAACAACAACAGATTTAAATGATTTGGATGATCGTTGTGAAAATTCCATTATCACTAAACGAGTTCAGCGAAACTGTGAAGTGATGAAACCATATTTTCGTATACCAAGACGTTATAATCCAGCGTATTTTTTATTTCATCCAAAATTTTGGCGTCAATTTAGTAGACCACGTTCAAGATTCAATGCACCGTTTTATCCGTTACAAATTAAACGTGAAGATTTAAGATTTTAACTAATGACAAAAATCCCAATTATTAATAAAATTTTTGAAATATGTCCAATTTTCACTCTTTTTTCTTCTTGAACGCCCAGTTTAGATTCTTATGGCTTGACTATTGAACATTTAACTTATCTGTTAATTTGTTTAAATGAATTGTTGTCATTTGTTTGTTTTCAATCATGTAAATAAAAACTGTTCCGTTGGGGAATTAAACTTCTTTTTATTAGCTGAAGGTATAAGTGAAATGTAAAATGGAAGGCGGTTTGTTTTTTGTTTAGGACTGATGATGGCGAAGTTAAACAATAGCGTCGCAGGAGTACGAACGCTCTAGTGACCTTGAACGCCTGCTAGTCGTTGGCTAACGACACCCGTCATTACTATTACTCAGATATGAATGCAAAAATCACTTATTTTTTAAAGTTGCTCCAGCTGTCACCATCATTTTTGTTTTGCTTTTGACCTGTTTTGATTTTCGTAATGAATTTTATAGGATACTTATTTAACATTAAGGAAGATTTTTAGGGGAACAGTTGTTTAATTTGAAGTTAACTGGTTGATGGTGACTAGCAGTGGAATCCAGGATGCGAATTTCGTCCTATTTGAGAATCGTCCCTGGATCTACCTGAATGTGTCAGTGAGTGATGGTGTTCTCAGTGGGGCTGTCACGCAGCATCTTTATTTTCAAACGTCAAGTCATTATTCTCCAGACCGCTTGAAGGGTATCATTACCTCAAGTTAAAGGTAATCAGGCGTCGTCGAAGCATCTGTACAACGAGTCAACATTTCAATCTGAGGCCAAGGAAAATTGAATTAAATAAACAGTTGTTTAATTTGTCTGTCCAATAAAAGTTGTGCTAGGGGAATTCATGAAAGTGTACACGTTAACCAAGCCTAAGGGAGCATAAAATGAACTTGAAGCTTGTTTGGGTACAATGCTTACTAAAACCAAATGTAAAGCATCTTAAGCATCCAGAGACATACTAGAGATTTACTTAAGTAATGTATAGTTAATTCAACTTTATTCTGCTATAACGACTCTGGGTGAAATCTGTTGTATTCGGAAAGAGGTCATAAGCGAGAGATGAACGTTATTTAGAATGTTAATAAAACCCGCAAAGACGTGTATGAGAATAAGAGGATGCATAAAGGTCGTAATGGTAGAAGATAAGAGACTTGGTAACGGAATGTTTATTAGGGGACCCGATATACACCTACAGGGAAATTATGTACACCTAATTGGTACAGTTCCTCCGTGTTGTTCCATTTCTGACCTTCCTTCGCCTTTTTTCTTTTTTCTTTGTCTCCTTACCATGTCGCCCATCTTTTGCTTTAACACTGTTTCGTTTCCTCTCTTTGACATCAAACTTATTTCTTGGTTGTTTGATATTTTCGTGCCGATGCATTGTCCTTAATATACTACTGATAAATTTTGTCAGTAGTACACGCTACACTATTTCTTTACAACTTATTCATATTTTGTTGTCATCAAGGTGTATTATAAATTCATGAAATGTTCACATTCTGGTTTACAGGCTCTTCAGTAAAATTTTTCAAAAGAATGGTTACTGAACAAAGAGTACTCTTTTCGATAACTTCACCATCATCAAGCTCTACAGCTATATATACATTATGGTGAATGAATGAATGAATTAGTGTTATGAACAACATTAATGTTGCTGTTTAAATAACACTGAATCAATAATATTGATAGATTACAGCTAAATAACATCAACATAACATAAGCTGAATGCCAGAAAAATTAGGAGAAATAATATTACAAATTCATGAATTGATATTCTCTACTGAAAGCCAGCCAGGGCAGTAGTAGTGCCTAGCTGAACTTGCTTCTTTTGAGCACAGAGCATTGGTTGTTTCACAAGAATTGCGATAGCCTCCGCTGTTTGAAGCATACGGTGCTTCGATGATTTCGGCAATGTATTAGGCATGCGGTAGATGATAGAGAAGGATCTGTCAACCCTGGCTTTGTGTCGCGTTTGCACTAGATGGTCCAATATCGAAATCTAAATGGTTTTCTCTTCATCTTTACATAGCCACACTGGTAGATGTTCACGAGTGAACACGAAAAATCAAGTTCCTAGAGCAACGGCTAATATAACTCTCTCCACCAGAAGCAACGCAGTTGAATTGGTAGATACAATTAGAAATGGCTAGCTGATTTAGGTATTTCATCTTTCAATCGAGGGATCACCATTGGTCGTGTAGAGAATAAGACGTGTAGTTCGCCAGCGTTAAAAGTTCTTTGAACTGATTTTCTTAATTTCTTCGTAATTATCTCACTTGGCATATCACCCTCAAATTGTAGTCATATATAAAGGGGCTTCTTGTTTACGGATAGTGAGTGGTGCTTTTCCGCTTTCTTTGTCATGTGTTTCTTGATAAATTTGTCGGGGATAGTAAAGCACCAAAGTTTTCTTCTGAGAATGTAAGGGAAAAAATAGATCAGATTGTACAATGTAATAAGCTATTTTTTTTATTGTGAAGCAGATTCTCCAGCTCAGCTCCATTCACAACGAATCATATAAAAATCGGCCTACTAATACAAGATTATCTCCGATTATTTCAACCATCAATTAGATGAAATTATTACAGCTTTAAAATACCATTATTACTTAATTTCTTAATTTAATTTTGATCTACAGCTTGATTCCACACCGTATTTTTGGTATAAGTATGGAATTTTCAGCATGGATATCGGTAGCCCAAATTTTGCAAGCCGACCATAGATATCAGGTGTGCGCCGGCAGGGGATCGAACCTCGGACCATGTGCATGGTCGGCGAGAGTCCTAACCACTGTGCCACCGACGCACTATTATGATTATCTTGACTGAGTTTTATAGTTGACAGCTTATTTGATACTTGAAACAAATGATAACATAACAATTTCGCTTTATTCCAGAAACGCTACTTGTGGTACAGTGTGGAATTTTCAGCACATATCTACAATATTGCATCTAATTTCATCGTACATTTAAAAGGAGTATTATAAAAAAATATATATATAAAAAAACACAACAAAAAACCGAAAAAGAAACACAGAAATAACAAAAAAAAACATAAGAAAAAAATGCAAGTAAAAAATACCAAGTAGAAAGGAAGATAAACAACACCAATGATGAAAAAATATTTCAGTACTGGGTAGTGGAAGCTATGATATGTGTATGCGTGGTGGACAGTAACAGCTATAATCATACAAGAAATTCTTGAAATGTTCTTAAGAATGTTTATAGCCAAGATGATCAGTTAATTTGATTGAACAACATTAAACAATCATAAAATAAACATTTCAGGTTGTGTTTTTTTTAATGTCAGCACAAATGCGGTGTTTGTAGTGGTAGTGTGAGGAATCATGCATAATACAAAATTTTTTAAGATGGTGATAGTGGCGTTCACAAACAAGATTATCAGTTAAATAGTGCCAAATAATAATAATAATAATAATTGCTTTATTCCAAAAACAGTACTAATGATACAGCAAGGAATTTTCAGCATTCAGTACAATATTGCATCTAATTTACCCAAAAACGACAAAAAAGAAAAAAAATTAAAAATACACAATACATAATAGTAATAAAACGACTGTTGTAGCAGCTACGTAGCAAAATACTGTGTGCCATACGGAGAAAAATATGTATAAAGTACAAAATTGTAGTAATAATAGTAATACTCACTAATATAAAATAGCAGAGTAACGATTTAAACGATAGAAAGTGTGACACCATAAAATACAAAAAGATGAACGAAAAAATGGTCGATTCACTGTGCTAATTACATAGTAACTTGTAAGTTTCACGTCTAACAGAGTTTTCGTCACAAAAAGTACGCGCTAAATAGGGTTTTGTAGAATTTCTATACTTAGTAGTACGAGCATATATTTTTTTATTTTGACTTCTCGTCCTACCTGATGAGAAAAAAGGGGACAGGGAACAAAAATTAATATTACATGATGGTTAATGACAGGACAATTTTGTAATAATCACAGTGATAATATAGTCGGACCCAGTAGATATACAAGAGAAGGAATAGAGTAAAGTACAAAAAACTACAAAAAAAGATGCCAAACTAAAGCCTACTAATGGAAACAGGTACATGAAACTGACACTTTGAAACAAAACAGGACAAAACCTGAATCATTTATCTACTGTCAACTTCTTATTATTGACTTGTTTTTTTGAGAAACGTTTGGTTGCCTGAAGTAAATAAAAGTATTTAGCAGTTACCATGTATAAAATGTTCTCGTGTGACCTTGAGTGCCCGCGTGAATCAATTTTAAAATGTATATTTTGTACATGTTAGATGGTTAGAGGTCATTCCTAACTTAGGTTTTATGCTTATTGCCAGTTGTCACTAACCTTCGAGGAACTTATTTCTCCACTGCGATTCGGACCCAAGGCTGAGAGAACTGATGCCGTATCAATACTAAGTTTCACCCTAGGGACAGATCCGTGATATAATTTATAGATTTTCTGAGTCTCTTCCGCTTATGACCAATATTCCTCTATGTAAGTCATCACAGCTTTAATGATACTCATTTCTGGACGGCATTCATCACCCTAAATTAATTCATAGACTCAGGGATCAACTTCCTACCAGGAAGTAATCTCGCTGACTTAGAATATGCACATGATATAGTCCTTCTAGGCGAGGACACCGACAAAATGCAGGATCTCCTGAATACTTTGAGCTGCAATCTAAGAATGTTTGGCACACGATTCGCTCCTGCTGTCAAATGCAAGATAATGTTACAGGACTAACCTACACTAACTCCTAGTTTAAAAATACGGAGTGAAGTGGTACAGCACGTTGACGGCTTCATTTATTTTGGAAGGACCATCAGCCCCAACGGGTTGATGTCTGACGAAATCTCAGTACGAATACAGAGGGCCGGTTTCGCATATGCGAGTTTACGCCATCTCTGGCATAGATGTGATATCCGGCTATCGACCAAAGGGCGGGTGTACTGCACAGCAGTTCGCTCCTTCCTCTTTTATTGATGACTGTGAGACCTGGCCATTGAGAGTGAAAGACATGAAAAGATTAGCTGTCTTTGATCATAGGTGCCTGCGCTCTATCTCCCGTGTGAAGTGGTATA